TGTTGTTGTGTTTGAATATCATATATTTAAATAATAATTATTGTTGGGGCCCCTGGTGCACGGCCCCCCTGCGCCGCCTAGGCCGCAGCTACATTTTCATCATTTTCGTGAGGAAGCCTCAGGTAATTCGATGTGATCAAGATCCGGTTGTTTTGTTCCCCCCCGCTTTCCCTTGCAAAAAACACTATAAAAGGACATTTCTTGTTCTAATATAATCAATTTTCAAGAATCCCTTGCAAAAAATAAGGTAAAGTGGACATTCGCGCGCGCAAGACGAAATCCTTCCAAAACCTTAGTGTTCGCAGCGATTTTAACATAAAAACATCAAAAAACCAATGGTTTTTCAACAAAAAAATGTCAAAATCTCATCCCGCGCGCTCTTGCGGATTCGTAGGAAACCCAACACTTTTTAAACATTTCTGTCAAACGGGCTTTTGCGAGCAACTTTTTCGAACTTCTGCGACAACGGTTGCGCACCTGCCAGGGCCATCATCCCTGTCAAATAATACCATGCGGGACACATTCGTTTTTTCTTCGCGCGCGCACGCCGTCGTCGTCGGCCGCGGGGCCCTGAATAGTAGCCACGGTCGTCCGCATGCCACGAAGTGAAGTGTCCGAACGTCATAGGGCGGGAAGCTGGGTGTGGGTGGTGGCGAAGAGTCGTTTGGAAATTTGGTAGAGCTTGAACCGGCCCCCCCACAAAGTGGGGGTATTGCCCGCCTCCTATGAAAACCCTGGCACTGGTGAGAACGGAGTGTCCCCACGTGCTAGTAATTGTTGTTGTTGTTGTTGTTGTTGAACTCTCATTCTTGAAGAATATTTATTGTTGATCCCCCCCACCGGTGCACATTTATTTTTTTCGATTGAAGTGCCACCCCCGGGGCTCGCACCTTGTTTTTTCTAAAGGAAAGTCTTCCTGCTCAAACTGTGCCCCTGCCCCCCGGGCTACAACAACAACGGCTCCCGCCTGAGACTTTTTCGATTTTTACTCAGGACCCCCGCTCCCGCCTGAGACTTCCGCGCAATTTATTCAGGAAAGGCGCTCCCATTTGAGACTTCCTCGCAATGTAATCAAGACCCCCGCTCCCGCCTGAGACTTCCGTGCAATTTACGTGGGAACGGCGCTCCCGCTTGAGACTTCTTCGAATTTTACTCAGGACCCCCGCTCCTGCCTGACATTTCCGCGCAATTGACTCAGGAACGGCGCTCCCGCCTGAGACTTCCTCGCAATTTAGTGAGGACCCCCGCTCCCGCCTGAGACTTTCGTGCAATTTGCTCAGGAACGGCGCTCCCGCTTGAGAATTTCTCGCAACTTAGTCAGGGCCCCCGCTCCCGCCCGAGATTTCCTCACACTGTACTCAGGACTGCGCTCTCGCGTGCGACGTCCTCACAAATTATTCTGGAATTGCGTTTCGGCGCTCAGGAACCACGCGCGCGCCAAGGACGCCTTCACAACGTGGTATCTTCCCTCTTCCTTCGTCCTTCCCCCTCCCCTTCCTTCCACTCTCCCTCGTTCTTCCCCTCCTCCTCTTGCAGGGCCCGCGCCAATTCCAATGGCGGGCAGAGAGATGTACGCCCCCGAAGGATTGTCCGCCAGTTCCGGTTTGCCCGTACGTCTAAGCCCGCCGGCCCCAGCAAAGAGAAATAATCCCCCCGAAAGGGGTGTGATCGAAGACGAAGAGGGCGGGTTTCGAGGGTGTAGGGTATACGTGTTGAATGACTCGCGGGCAAGTAAGAGCGTACAGCCTTAAAATGGTTGTTGTTGTTGTTGTTGTTGCTGTTGGTTGTTTTTGTTGGTTGTTGCTGCGGCTGCTGCTGCTGCTGTTGTGGTTGTTGTTGTTGTTGTTGTTGTTGTTGTTATTGTTGGTGTTGTTGTTGTTGTTGTTGTTGTTGTGGTTGTTGTTGTTGTTGTTGCTGATGTTGTTGTTGTTGCTGCTGTTGCTGTTGTTGTTGTTGTTGCTGCTGTTGTTGTTGTTGTTTTTGTGGTTGTGGTTGTTGTTGTTGTCGTCGTCGTCGTCGTCGTCGCCGTCGTCGTTGTTGTCGTTTTTTTTGATGTTGTTTGTGTGTGTGTGTGTGTATGTGTGTCTTTTTTTGCGGATGCGAGGGAGCAGATGCACGCATCCCGGTGTGTTGAGAGAGGGGGGCTGCCACTCGTCAGGTATACACAAACCCCAGATCGGACATCGCTCGGCGCTCTGTCGCGCCTCCGCGCGCCAGGGGTCACGGCGGCGGATCTTTCTCGGAGGCGCTGTGCATATCGTCAGAGCCCAGCACCCCGCTGCAGAGCTCCTGGACCACGCGCGGCTGCTGGGAGCCGCTCCCCCCGCGTGTCCCCAGAGCCCGCGATTGGTTCTCGAGAGAGCCTCCGCGAGGGTCTCCACGCGGTGGCCATGGAGGCTCCCCGGAAGCAGCTTCACGTCCCCGGCGAAGCTGGTCCACTATTTTTGTTGAGTCGGGCATGTCCCTCTACAGGAGGAATATCAAAAAATAGTCAACAAATGATATGGGGACGATCTTTTTAGCATTGACGACCATTCTTGCACTTTTTTTTGACTATTTTTGTTTTTCTCCAAAATCGGCCTGTAGGAGGACATGCCCGACCCAATACCAGTGCCCGCGCGCATCAATGGCCAGCGAACGTCTAGAGTCGGAGTTCAGGTGGGTGGGTCTTGGGAGCGAAGCCAGCAGTCTTGCCGACGCCCTCACGAGCTTCAGTCCGGCCAGAACTCCAGGCCTCCTAGATGGGGTCGGAGTAGATGGGGTCGGAGGATCGTGCCGCATCGGCGATGCATCGTCGATGCCGCTCGATGTGGAGCCCGATTTGCTTCACGCGGACGTCGCCGATGCATCGCCGACTTCGCCGATGCATCGCCGAGGCGGCGCGATCCTCCGACCTCATCTACTCCGACCACATCAAGGAGGCCTCTAAGATCGCCCAGAGTCGGAGTTTAGGTGGGTGGATCTTAGGAGCGACGCCAGCAGTCCTGCCGACGCCCTCACGAGGACTCGGTCTGGCCAGGGCCGTGCCCAGGCGCAACACGGGGTGCGCAGCTCTGGCGCAGGAGTCCGAGCTCGGGCCGCAGCTGCAAACTTTGGCTCGAGGGCCCCTCCTCCTCCTCATCCTCCTCTTCCTCCTCCTCTTCCTCCTCCTCCTCTTCCTCCTCCTCCTCCTCTTCCTCCTCCTCCGCCTCCTCCTCCTCCTCCTCCTCTACCCCCCCCTCGTCGGCCCCGATCCAAACTAAATCTCCGGGTCGGTTTTGGAGGTCGCTGCGGCGATCGCGGCGGCCACAAGTCGGGGCAAGGTTTTTGTCCAGGAGTGGCGTGCCCCCTTCCCGGGCCCCCTCCTGCCCTGCGGTGTGGACGTGGCTCGTAATCAACAATGTAGCGGCAGAGAGTTGCCAAGTTATGTCCAGCGTGGGCAGTCCTGGTTTTTTGGGTAGGGGTCGATGATCACGCAACCACCAGCCGCCGCCATCGGCCACGACTTGGCCCCCCGCGCCCTTCGCCCTCGGGAGACGCGCGGGCGACGCATGTGGAGATGCACCGGCGACGTCGGCGATGCACCGGCGCCGTCGGCGTGGGAAGCGTCGGGCCCCACGTCGAGCCGCACCGCCGATGCATTAGAAGGGAAAAACACACAGACACAATTAATCGTCGATCCCCCAGAAAATATGGGAAAATATGGGAAGTGGGGGGGAAGACAAAAACCCAGAAAATATAGGAAAATATGGGGAATCCTTTTATTGCGAAGGCCTTACGGCCGGTGCCGCCCACCCTGGAGGGCGACCCATGCGTTCTCTAATGTGGCGGGGGGGCCTCTTGGGGCTTCCTGGGGGCCTCTTGGGGGTCTCGTGGTAGCCTCTTGGGGGCATCTTGGGGCTTCCTGGGAGCCTCTGTCGCCGAGGGCTCGTCGGGCCCCCCGTCTGGGCACCCTGTTGGAGCCGTTTGGGGAGCCTCTGGGGCCATCTTGGAGGCATCTTGGGCGGTCTTGAGGCTCTCTTGGGTCATTTTGGGGCTCTCTTGAGGCCTCTTGGGCTATCTTGGGGCAATCATGGGGGCATCTGGGGCCGTCTTGGAGCGTCGGCAAGTTGAAACGGTGAGAACGCCAAAATCTGTCAAAAACTTTAAGGAAATCATTGATTTTTCCCTCTTCGTGCCCTCTTGGGAGTGCTCTTGGAGACTTCTTGGAGCGTCTTGGCAATCTCTTGGGCCGTCTGGAGGCTACTTTGGCGTCTTCGACCGATGGTTCGGCGATTCGGGGCCCTCTGGAGCCGTCTTGGAAGCCTCTTGGGGCACTCTTGGCCAGTCTGGGGGCTTTTCTAGGTCCCGGGACATCCCGGGGGGATGCGTATCTGCCCCCCCCCCCCCGCCCCGGGACCCCCCCCGGGACCCCCCCCCCGGCGGGGAAGGGATCAAAGGGAAGGGGCTTCCCTTCGACTCAGCTACGACGTTGCTCAATTTCGCTTTGCCTTCGACTCAGCTACGACGTTGCTCGATTTCGCTTTGGTTTCGCTTTGGCTGGCGCGCCTGAGGGGAGGGCGACGACGACGACGACGAACGGAAGAGCATCGACGACGACGACGACGACGACGACGACGGCGACGACGACGAAGTGGGGGGGAAGACAAAAACCCAGAACATATAAGAACATATGGGGAATCCTTTTATTTGTGTGTATTTATTTATGTGTTCTGGGGCCCCTTCAATGCAGTTGCATCGGCGATGCATCGGCGATGCGTCGGCGATCCTCCGGCCCCACCTGCTCGGACCCCTTCTGGGAGGCCTGGGCTAGCAGAGCCTCGTGGGGGGCTCCCTCTCGGGGGGAGGGGCTCTTCTGCGGGCTTCACGCCTCGTGTGGGGCCTCTGGAGGAGGAGGAGGAGGAGGAGGAGGAGGAGGAGGAGGAGGCGGAGGAGGAGCAGGAAGAGGAGGAGGAGCTGGAGGAGGATGGGGGAGGAGGAGGAGTGTCTCTGGGAGGCCTCTCGGGCCCGAGCTCGGCCGC